TCCCCCCACCTTTCGTCCGATCCGATTCCAGAGAGCCTCTGCTGTAGTCGGGTTCTTTACGCAGCTCCCGACCCGATAGAATCACGCACGGATCAGCTGGCAAGAGGGCTGCGTGGCGCGCCTCGGGTGTGCTAGGCTGATGAAAGCCGGGCCGTGAAAAATACCCTGCTACGCGAGGCCTAAGCCTTCGCGCGCAGGGTACTGCAGTGGAGGCGCCAGCTTGAGCGCCGACGCCATACCAGGTCATCTGAGGGGTGGGGCGGAGGAGGCGGAGGAAGCAACGAAAACAAGTACAAGAAGCAAAGTTTGAGGGTCCGCGCCGAACCAAGAGATCCGTGTGGACCTCCAGAAGCTCACAGTCATCCTGCTACCATAGAGAACGCCGAGTGAGGAGCAAACGGGCATCTGTGGCCACGGCGAGCCTCGGCCACGAACGGATTCCGAGGAACGACGCGAAACGCCGAGCCCCTCCCGAGCCTAAAGTGGTCTTTATTGCAGCGTCTGGGCTGCACGTATATGCCGCTCTTAGCTTTGGTTGCGCGCAGAGGGGGGTAGGGGAGGCGGGAAAGCTACTTGGAAGGAAGCCGCTTCTCAGAAGGCGCCGGCCTTGCATCTGGTGACAAGGCCCGCACCTTCTCAGAGGCAGGGGTGCTTCTGAGAAGCCCCCCCCCGTCCCCCAACACCCCTCTGCGCGTGGCCAAACGATTCGTTCGCGACGTCGACCCACCAGAAGTCTCAATCCCTTCCCCAGGACGGGCTTTTCATCCTGAGTTGTTGTTTGACGGTCCCGAGGCGCGGTGAGTGCCCCAAAGAGGCAGAGAATAGCAAAAACACAAAACAAAACTCCTTAGTGCGAATTGTTCAGGACTCGGTGGAGGTCTGGGTACCCCCCTCTGCGCGTGGCCGATGGCTGTACGAGGACGAGGAGGGTGGCATCGCCACAGGTCGAGGAGGAGGGGGAGGAGGAGAAGGACGATGAGGAGGAGGAGGAGGAGGAGAAGGAGAAGGGGGAGGGAGGGGAAGGAGGAGAAGGAGGAGGAGGAGGAGGAAGAGGAGGAGGAGGAGGAGGAGGAGGAGGGGAGGAGGGAGGGGGAGGGGGGAAAGAGGAGGAGGAGGAGGAGGAGGAGGCGGAGAAAGAGGAGGAGGAGAAGGAGGAAGAGAAGAAGGGGAATGATGATGAGGAGGAGGAGGAGGAGGACTGTAGTGTATTGCTGATGCCCTTGAGGGTAGGCATAACCCTGTGAGGACGGATGGGCTCTGGGGCTCACCCACCCTTGTTACCGTGCCCCCAGGTACAAGGACCGTGGTAGGCACACGGTATGAGAGGTAGCATACCTTTCATCGGCAACCTCCGTTGTGAAGACCGTGGCTCGTCCTTACTCGGCTTGTGCGCCAGAGCAATCGGAGCGTATCAGCACACGCTGGAGGTGAGTGTGAATGAGGGGTGATGGATTCTACACCTCCTGACTGCATGGACGATGCGGCGGAGCGAGGCCGCCAAGGTAATGAGGCTCAGAGTATACAGCGCTGAATGCCAGTGCGTGCGCGTGCGGCGGGATGCAACAAGGGAGTAGGTGGCTGATATAATGGACAACGTCAACCCACGCCACCATTGTGCTGCGTACCCCAACGGTTACACGACGCGACGCGACGGCAAGCTGAGAGGCAATGGTTACCTCACCTCCTGCCGGCATGGACGATGCGGCGGAGTGAAGACGCCAAGGTAATGAGACTCAGAGTAAACAGCGCTGTATGCCAGTGCGTGCGCGTGCGGCAGGGTGCAACAAGGGAGTAGGTGGCTGAGATAATATGTGGCCAACGTGTCCTCACGCCACCTCTGAGCTGCGTACCCCTACGGTTACACAACGCGACGCGACGGCAGGCAAGGGGATCGCGCGCCGAAGAATACGATTCGACCCGCGGCCGCATAACCATCTGAGAGGCGATGTTTTCCTCACCTCCTGCTGGCATGGACGATGCGGCGGAGTGAACAAGCTGGCCCAGAACGCATCCTGGGACCATACCTGCTGAGGCCGGCGCGCCTCACGTAGGCCCTCTGCCCAAGACTGGGAGGATACGAACTTCGAGAGTTTCGTATCGGGCGCGACCCCCAGAAGGCTCACGGCGAGGGGCATCTCCGACCTTCAAAACCCCTTCGGGTTTCGGGGACGATGAGCTTGGCGAGTCATTGAGGACGAGTCGGTTCCCCAGTTGTCCGTTTCCCTGGGGGGGTCCTCAGTTGTCCGTTTCCCTGTGCCCCGCATCATCGCCTCGGCGCGCGGTGGGGACAGCAGCGATTGACGACAACAAAGAGGAAGGAGGAGAGAGGAGAAGTTTGGAGGTGAAGGCAAGAGCGGCGCGTGCAAGAGCGGGCCGCGAGGCCCGCGCAGCACGAGGGGTGTTATCGCCGTGGGCCTGGCGTCTAGGGGATCCCCTTGCCAGCCCGTGGCGTGAGCGTAATCTGTGAATGCACGAAAGCTGGCCTGGACGCTGGCCAGCGTCTAACAGGAGATAAGCAATGTTAGCCGGACAGAATGATATTATGCAGGACTGTCGGCCTTGCCGCCAGACTGTGTCCTTGAGGCAAATGCCTCGCGACATGCTTGCACAGTTACACTGTGGATGCACGAAAGCTGCAAATGGAGCTGGCCAGCCTCTGATAGGAGATAACCATGGTAGCAGTGTGCGATTGTGCAGGACTGCCGGCCTTGCCGCCAGGCTGTGTCCTTGAGGCGAACGCCTCGCGACGTGCGTTCATAATCTGTAGACGCACGAAAGCTGGCCTTGACACTGGCCATCGTCGACTAGAAGACAACCCATGGTAGCCGCAAAGCGTGAGACTGTGCAGGACTGCCGGCCTTGCCGCCGGGATGTGTCCTTGAGGCCACTGCCTCGCGACATACTTGCATTATCTGCGATTGCGCGAAAACTGGCAATGACGTTGGTAGGAGTCAGCCATGCAAGCCGGACAACATGGGGTTATGCAGGACTGCCGGCGTTGCCGCCGGGCTGTGTCCTTGAGGCGAATGCCTCGCGACATGCTTAGATAAACTGTGGATGCACGTAAGCTGGAACTGAAACTGGTCGACGTCTGATAGGAGGAACCATGGCAGCAGAGTGCAAATGTGCAGGACTGCCGGCCTTGACGCCGGGCTGTGTCCTTGAGGCGAATGCCTCGCGACGTGCGTTCATAATCTGTGGACGCACGAAAGCTGCCTCGCGACATACTGCATTATCTGCGATTGCACGAAAACTGGCAATGACGTTAATAGGAGACAACCGTGGTAGCCAGACGAAAAGATATTGAGCAGGACTGCCGGCCTTGCCGCCGGGCTGTGTCCTTGAGGCGAAGGCCTCGCGACATGTGCGCAGCATCCGCGGTGCACGACAGCTGGCACGGCCGCTGGCCACCGTCTAAGACGAGGCCATGATAAGCGGAGAGAGTTAGATTGTGCAGGACCGCCGGCTTTGCCGCCGGGCTGTGTCCTTGAGGCGAATGCCTCGCGACGTGCGTGCATAATCTGTGGACGCACGAGATCTGGCACTGCCGTTGGCCTTCGCCTGCGCACGAAGAGCCAAGCGTAGCATATGCCCGCGTGTGCCTTCAGACAACGAAGTAAAGATCTCGAGGTGAGCGACCTCGAGGTATTGACCGCCTTCCTTGCAAGATGGGCAACGGTGATTGCGCAGGACCGCCGGCCTTTCCGCCGGGCTGTGTCCTGGAGGGCAGAACCTCCGACTGGAATGCTTCTCCGCTGGCATTCGCGCCAGGCCATGTCCTACGGACACATGCCACACGCTAGGATATGAGAATGTGCAGGACCGCCGGCATTGCCGCCGGGCTGCGTCCTGGAGGTCAGACCCTCCGACGTGTCCGAATGAAATTTGACAAAACCGGGCAGTGTCATGGAGGCGCATGCCTCCTAAGGAAGGTGTGTAGGATCGCCAGTATTGCTGGCAGGCTCCTGGAGGAGAAATCCTCCGGCGTCCTCGTTGAGACCATCTGGCGGAGCCGACAGGCAGCTGGCGTCAACCTCGCTCAGGAGGGCCATGCTTAGCCTGTCACTGGCGAAACGTGTTCCACCAGGGTGACCACCCAGGCGGGGCCTGTGGCTCTCCGACCCGAACCTGCAAGGTGGGCAATATAAGCACTGCTGGAGGAGGTCCGGTCTAGGGCGACGCATCCTCCTTGTGCTGGGAGGGCACTTGAGCGTGCCTCTTGCCACTGTCGCCCCGCTGTTCACTCCCCTGGGGGCTCGGCAGGGGTGCTCGTCGGGCGTGGGGAATCCACGCCCTTAGTGGCGCCCCGTGCGTGACCAGCCGACTCCCCCAGAGGAGTATAGAACAGCATTGGCACGGGGAGGAGGAGGAGGAGGAGGAGGAGGAGGAGGAGGAGGAGGAGGAGGAGGAGGAGGGGGGGAGGAGGAGGAGGAGGAGGGAGCAGGAGAAGGGGAGGAGGAGGAGGAGGAGAAGGAAAGCGAGGAGGGAGGAGCAGGAGGAGAAAGGAGCAGGAGGATGGAGGAGGAGGAAGGAGGAGGAGGGAGAGGAGGAGGAGGGAGGAGGAGAGGAGGGAGAAGGAGGAGGAGGAGGGAGGAGGAGGCCGAGGGCGAGGAGGAGGACAAGGAGGAGGACGAGGAGGAGGAGGAGGAGGAGGAGGAGGAGCGGAGGCGGAGGCCGACAGGAGGCGGAGGCGGAGGGGGGGGAGGGGGAGGAGGAGGAGGAGGAGGAGGAGGAGGGAGGAGGAGGAGGGAGGAGGAGGAGGAGAGGAGGAGGAAGAGGAGGAGGGGGAGGAGGGGGAGGAGGAGGAGTGAGGAGCAGGAGGAGCAGGAGGAGGAGGAGGAGGAAGGAGGAGCAGGAGGTAGGAGGAGGAGGAGAGAGGAGGGAGGAGAGAGGAGAGAGGAGGAAGAGGAGGAGGAGGAGGAGGAGGAGGAAGAGCAGGAGGAGGAGGAGGAGGAGGAGGATCGAGGAGAAGGAGGAGCGAGGAGGAGGAGGATCGAGGAGGATCGAGGAGAAGGAGGATCGAGGTGGCGGCAGCCCCCCGACGGCTGGACGGCCCGGCGCGCCACGCGGAGACAGAGAGAGAGAGAGAGAGACCCTGGCCGCGGCTGACCTCGGGGGGCTCAGAGCTTGGCGGCCGCGGCGGTGCCCGCCTTCACCGAGTCGACGTACCTCGGCGCCGTCGCCGCGCCGCCGTCGTCGCCGCCGCAAGAACTAGGGGGACGAAGAATGACTTACTCGGATTCCGCGGATTTCGCGGATTTCTCGGACTTCGCGGATTTCTCGGATCGGCCGTCGCCGGGGAACGCCGAGGCCCACTGGCGGCGCCTCCAGCGCGCCGTCCCTGTCGCGCTCAGCGCGGATCCAAGAAATCCACTCGGACCTCCGAGTTGTTCTGTTTATGTCATGTTACGCTCCCCTAAGGAACGCACCCGTCCTCGTCGTCGTCGTCGTGTTCACCGCCGTCCCCTCGGTCGTCGTCGTCGTCGCAGTCGGCGTTCGCCGCCGTGAGGCAGCGCACTGCCTCGTCCTCATCCTAGTGCTCGTCCTTGTCGCCGTCGTCCTCGTCCTCGTCCTCGTCCTCGTACTCGTCCTCGTCCTCCTCGTCCTCGTCCTCGTCCTCGTCCTCGTCCTCCTCGTCTTCGTCCTCGTCCTCGTCCTCGTCCTCGTCCTCGTCCTCCTCGTCTTCGTCCTCGTCCTCGTCCTCCTCCTCGTCGTCGTCGTCATCGTCGTCGTCATCGTCGTCGTCGCCGTCGTCGTCGTTGTCGTCGTCTCGTGGTCGTCGTCGTCGCCGTAATCCTCGCCGTCGTCGCCGTCCTCGCACTTGATGTTCGCCGCTGTGAGGTAGCGCGCGGCGGCCCGGCCCGAGACGCGGCCGTACACGACGCAGTCCTGGGGGGGAGGGCCCGGGGACGCCGCTGCCGCAGCTCCCCCCGCAAGAGGCGCCCAGACACCTCCGACACGATATGGACGTTGGGGTCGGGATCGGTATCGTAGTGAGGTCATGGAGGCCGGAGTTGGACGCCTCCAGAGGCATGCAGGAGGCCTCCTGGGGCATCCAGAGGCCCGGAAGGAATAGAAACGTCAGAAGGCCTTGATCATCGAACTTCGGCGCGGCGAGGTCGTGTCGCGACGTCTTCGTCGCTGGTTTCTGACACCACGTGGATGGCTCAACCTTCAGCAATCGAGGCTGTCTGGTAGCGCAGATCGTTCGATATCGGCCGGCCAAGGGTTCAAGCTTGAACCCCACGCTGGGGTCGCCGCCGCGTCGACGCGGCGCCAGCCTGCCGTTGATTTTCGCCTCCTGGTAGAGGAACGAAGAAACTGCATAAACATAGACTTTCGGAGCTCCGCATGGATTTCTTGGATCGGCACTGGACCCCCCTCCTCGGCGCAGGGAGCACGCCAGGGGCGCTGCTGGAGGCGATCCAAGCAACCTGCGCGGGGCTCCGGAAGTTTAGGTGTATGCTGTTTGTTTCTCCTTTTCAGCAGGGGCCGACCTTAGCAGCAATCCTACAGGTCTACCACGACGCGCTCTTAGAACAAAAAACGTTCTAACAACACTAGCAACAAAGCACAACGCATTGGAAAACTATACTGCCTCGGCCAGACATGGTCGAAGAACACATCGTACAAACAAACAACACGTTATCAGAACATCACTTGGTGGGCCTACAGTGCGGGCGCGGCCGCAAGAAACCCTCGCAAGAAACCCAGCCCTGAGAACCCGTGCGCGAGGTGCACCTGAGGGGAAACCTGGAGCACCCTGAACGCAGCAGCTCCTTTAACGGCTGCGGGAAGTCACCGCGCAGCGCGAGGAGCGAAGAAACCAAAGGAACCCTAACGAAAAGCACATGGCTTCTTGATGCGCGCCCCCACATGCTCGAAGAACACGTCGTGCAAACCACAAAACGTTCTCATAACATTATAGGATGGGCTTATAGGTGGGTCATGATGGGCGTGTTCCACCACCACCATAAGTTGGAGGGGGGAAGGGGAAGGAGGACGAGGAGGAGGAGGACGAAGAGGAGGAGGAGGAGGAGGAGGAGGAGGAGGAGGAGGAGGAGGACCCCATCCCCCTCCTCCAACTTATGGTGGTGGTGGTGGCAAACAGGCCCATCAGGGGCAGGACGCTCGGCCACTGCTTGATGCTTCGCCTCGGCAGGTCCAAGAGGGAGTTGCCCCCGAGGCGGTTGTTGCCGTGGATGCCGCCCGCCGCCTCGCCCGCGCTGTACAGGCCGCCGAGCACGGACCCGTCCGCCTTCAGGGCCTCGCCACCGCCCGGATATCACGGCGGCGGCGGCGGCCACGTCGGCGACGACGACGTCGACGCCGCCGCTGCCGCCACCGGCGACGACGACGACGTCGACGACCTGCACGACGACCACGACGACGGCGGCGACGACGACGACAGCAACGTCGACGGCCACGGAGAAAACGGCCGCAGCGACGACGGCGGCGGCGACAAGGGCGAAAGCGGCGGCAGCGACAAGGTCAACGACGGAGGCGGCGGCGATGACGACAGAGACGGGGAAGGCGACGGCGGCGTCGGAGGATCTTCACGCAGTCGGCGGCAGCCAGCCTCGCCGTCGCCATTGATGCTCATGCCGCCCATGCAGTAGTGGATCACGGGCGTCACAATGGCAACGTGAAAAGAGTCGTTCACGTCCATGGGGAGATTGTGGAAGAACTTTTTGCCCCACTGATCCCAGGACTTGCCGCCGCCGTACGCCTCGGGCGCGCGCGAACCCAGGTCGACGCCAACCCCGAGCCACACAGGATCATGTCGCGAGCCCAGACCAACCGCGATGCAGCTCCCAAACCCGGGTCAAAAATGGGCGAGAGGGGAGGGGTCGGTTCCACGTGGCTCCCAAATCCGGGCCGGCCAGAAGGGATCGGAGATTGTCTGGCCCCCATTAGCGCTGAAGGCCTCGTAAGGGCCGTTGTCCGGGTCCTTGGTCTGCTTTTCGGCGATCTCGTTGTACGCCTTGAAGGTGGCGTCGATGTTGGCGATCGGGATGTTGTAGAACTTGGCCATCTCGGTCATGTCCTTGAACGACTTCATGATGCCGCGGCCCTTGTAGTGCTTGCAATGCCATTCGATCTCCTTAGAGGACTTGCTGTTGAGGCACAAGAAGAAGCCGGTGCAGCTGCCCTGCACCAAGCCCTTGTTCTTCCACATCATTCCGGTGACGTAGTCGCGGCGGCCCAGCTCGTTGCAGAACCTGCCGGGAGGACACCTCCTTCTCTTCCTCCACTTCCACCGCCTTCTCCTCCTCCTCCTCCTCCCCTCCTCTTTTTCCTCCTCCTGCTCCTCCTCCTCCTCCTGCTCCTCCTCCTCCTCCTCCTCCTCCTCCTCCTCCTCCTCCTCCTCCTCATCTCTCCTCTCGCCTTTTTCCTCGCGCGCCGACCCTGGCCAGGTGCATCCTGTGCCGAAGATCGGCGCACACGTCCTCTTGGCCTGGCCAGGAAGGCATGCACACCAATATTTGGCCCAGGATCGGCCTGGCCAAGACTTGCGCAACATCAAAATAGTAAGGAAAGAAGGACAAGACGCCGTGACGATGTCACATGTTACACCACCGCGCACCCTGACCATGTTGAACAGCGAGACGACAAGGATAAGCACGCGCGAATGTGACAGATCACGGCTCAACCAGAAATTAACGCAGGCAGCGCGCAACGACCATAAATGTCGAACAGACCTCCGCCTTCTTGGCCGCGCCCCATGTCCCTCGGTACATTTCCGCACGCGGGGTCAAGCTCGTAGGCGTGAAGGGAAATAAGATGAGCACATCACAACAGCAACCCAGTTTGAAGCCCACCCTATTCCGAACAACGGACGACAGGTGATGCCCTCCAGCTTGTTTCGCAATTGCCTGTGCTGGGAAAGCGAGACCATTCGTACATCAAGACAATCTGCACGACGAACGGGAAAACGGACCATTGACAGAAGCAAGCAGGACCGCTCTTTGCAGGCCCATTGCAGCACTGAAGCTGGGAACGCGCCGACGGGCCGCAGCACCAATCTAATATGAGACCCAACTGGCACGCTAGCCCACTGTAGCATGACAAGTGAGAATGCGCCGAGGGGACCGCGTGTCGCACCATCTCAATACTTGCCGGCTGCCACGCTGCGCCTTTCTCGCACGCGCTGATCCAAGCTTTGTTGCGGCCGGCAGGCGGCTCGCGCGGCCCTGCCCAATCACGCCCAGCAGCGGCGCTCCGTTGCGTCTGCCCGCCCTTCTGGCACTTGCAGATCTGAACTTTGTAGCTGATGACAGTCGGACCAAGCGCCGATCCTCTCCCCGCTCTCGGCAAATGCTGGGAAGTCCAAATCTGCTCGCCCTTCTCGCGCCCGAGACCGACAAAATAGGAAATGGGGCCAAGATTGCAAGCCCACCACCGAACAAACTGCTGCCACTGCCGCAAAATGAATACAGAGGGTTATTTTCACGATGCACACGATTCTTTCCGATTCAGCCAACCCACCAGCCTACGCTCGCTGGCCTGGGCGGCGCGGGCGCCACTCGAGCGCCGCGGTGAGGCGTCGACGAACGACTGAGAACGCTACGCGCTGGAGCCAACATCGCAACGGATGACCTCGAGCCGCACGTGCTCGGGTACGCAAATCAAAGGAGACATTCCCGTCATAACAGACGAGACGCAACGCAGTCTAACCCTGCTGACTTCCAAAACAGTGTAGTGTACGCTTGCGTGGGAAGTGTAGGTTTGCAAATACAGTTGCGACTCCATAGCGAACGGAGTCCAACTGTTTTAAACGCAATGCCATTTACCCTCCCGAACAACATGGAGCTTCCACCTAGATCGCAACATCAAAATGCAACCGGGCAGCGTGTCGCGGATTCTTGGGTGTCCAAGATGTGATTCGCGCAAATGTGTAGCATGCTGCGTGCTGTTGGCTGCTGTAATCAGCTGAATGCGTTTGCGTGGGCCGCGGCGCAGCAGCGTCGTGGCATCGCCGCGCGGGGTCGACAGCGAAGGGGCGGAAGCCCCGCAACACTGTCGCGGCGTCGCGGCGCGCCCTTCGCGCGCGCCGCGGCGATTGAAGGGCCTGCGCCGGAAGCCCCACCGGCCAAATCCGCGCGGCGCCCTGGCCCACTTCCCACGCCCACGCGCCCCTCGCACGCGCGGTTGCCTGTTGGGCGATATCCAGAGAAACGCCTGCGCGGAACGCCACCCCTCTGAGGCCCCCTCCGCGCATTGCAACGCGCCCGTCGCGCGCCTTGCGGCCGCGCGGAGAAACTCCACGACGGGGGCCCCTTCCAAAGTCCGCACGGGGCCCCCGCCCGCCCATCGGGCGACGCCCATCGCGAGCAGCGCAGCCCCGCGCGCCCAGACAAGCTGGGCCGGATGAACGACTTGTCGGGATGTAAATGAAGTTTGTGTGTTCGTGCTGCCGTGGCCATATCCGTGAGCGTCGCGGCGAGGCGAGGGAGTGTCTGGCTTATAAATGGAGCGTCGTCAGCGAAGCGAGGGTTCGTGAGGCGGCGCGTCTGGTGAACATCCAAGTTTGACTCCTAGGGTGCGTTGTTGCCACTTGGCGGCGAGCGGTCTCGCGATGCACTCCAGGAGCGAATTGAAGAGTTGCGAGCTGAGGGGGTCAGCCGGTCTCGTGCCTAGGACTAAATGGATAGGCGACTGGTCGAATGTTTCTGCGCTGTCGCTGATCGCTGAGAGTAGAGCCGCTCTTGTAAAAAATGGCCCATCTCTGCTGCGACGCCCTGGCCATCACGCGCCGCCTGGAGGCTGTCGCGTTCAAGCGCGCCATATGCTTTCGTGAAGTCGAGTCCAGATGCCCAAAAAGGCCGGCCCTATTCGAATGCTCTTTTCCGGAGGACGTGGAATGTAAACAAATGCTCTCGCGTTCTAACTGCGGCTGCAGTCTAGTGCATGGGACGTGCTGAAGAGCTTGTAAAATGAAAGCATGTTGCAAATTGGTCGGTGGGTCTGAGATTGCGAAAGGCCCCCTGCTTTAGGGATGACTGCGATGACCATCCGTCGCCAATGTTGCGGGGTTGGTGTGGTCTGGTCGGAAAACCCTTGTGTAGCGCAGTAGGATAGTTTGCGCTAGTTGTGGCGGAGCATGTTTCAACTTTTTCGCCGGGATTCCGCTCCGGCCTCGTGCTCTGCCGCGCTCGGGGGCGGATGATGCGTTGTCGAACTCTTGGGAAGTCAGTGGCGGCATGGCGTCGTCGCGGTTGCCAGGTGTCGCGGCCGGTCGAATGGAGTGCTAAAGCTGCTCGCGGAAATCTGCGAATTCGACTCCACTGGACAATCTGCCCGCGCGTAAATTCCCTATCCGTGCCACGCCTTTCTGCGATGAGCGCGCGCCCCCGTCACGATTTGATCGCGGCGATTCGCTGGAGCACCCGGTATTGTTCCAAGAGTTTACCTATATGTGCTCGTCTTGTAGCCCGTTTGTTACGTCGTACTTATTGTCGCATTTGCTTTCTGCTGTGCTGTCGCGCTTGCGTGTCCTAGTCGTAGCTGCATTGGTTCTTGCAAATGTCTGGGCCGGGCTGTGGTCGTAGTCGGTCAGGTGTCTTCCTGCTCGCCAATGCTGTTTCCACTATTCATTTTGGGATGTGCTCATTGAGCTCCTCTGGGTGCCGCGGCATGTCTGCAGCCGTCATTTGGTGCGCGGTTGTCGTTGTGTCCGTGCCAGTGTGTCATTCCATCAGCAGGTGATCGTGCTACGCGGTGCTCTCGCATGGTTGCGTTTGTCTGCAATCCGTTGGCTGCCCGTTGGACGTCGTTGTTTTACAACAAAAAACTGCGCGGACACGGCTATTTGGGTCTGACCCCAGATCCAATATGGCGCTCGCCTCTGCGTTACGACAGCATCGAAACAGGCGCCTGGAGGTCAAGATGTAATCGATGTGCTTCACGGTGACGTCGTTGTGCGTGTACGTCGTCATCCTCGGAACCTGCCTGCGGAAGAAGGCGCTGACAACAATGAGATGGTCTTCGGACGCCCGTGCACGCAGCCAAGCTCCTCTCGAATCCCACTGCTCGCACGCGTGGCTTCAAATGTGCCTGGAATCGACCATGCGCTCGTCGTCGAACGTATCATTATTGTCGTTACTCGACGGCTGGTTCGCTTCTAGGTGCCCGACAAGTTCATTGAACTCGCCTGCTCAGACTGCGTTGTGCTGCTGGTTACGTGCTTCGGCGCGCAATGCATATATGAGTGTGCACAAGTTCTGCACGTGGTAGTCGGAGTAGTTCGCGTGCGGGAAATACGCGGCAATCAGCATGAGTTTGACAGAATATCGTCGCATGTGAAGCGTTACCAGCCTTGGGTTTATAGTTTGTTGGACGTGCTTCTTCCGTCGCTGGCGCACCAACACCCCCACCCCGTAGATTTGATATGCGTGGCCAGAGCCAGCTCACATATGGCCGTTCAAGGTCTCCCAAATGCCTGAACTCGTTGTCGTCCGAGTCTCGTTGGACAATTCCATGTCCCACTGGGTCGTGCGGAAATTGCTGCTGGCCTCATCTATGCGGTCGTCGTTCAATGACCACGCATCCTGATGTCTGATCGTAAGAACGCAGCCCGTGTCTTGAGATTGTGGGTCGGTCAGCGGTCGAGGTTTGGAGGTGGATTGCGGTAGACGCTGGGAATACTTCGCGGTCGGAGGTCGGCTGGTTAAGGGCGTGAGTCGGCTTGAAGACAATGCTGGTGGACGCTGGGAGTCAGAACCTTGTAGCTGGAGGTTGGAATGCTGAACTGATGGGCGCTGGATGTCGATATAGAGGTAGACTTGGAAAGTCGGATGCTGGAGGCTGGAGGTCAGAATGGGCGAAGGTGGAAATGAAGAGTCGGATGCTAAAGGTAGGAGGTCAGAAGGCTCAACTGGTGAACGCTGCAAGTCGAAAGGTGCGGGTGGAAACAGAAAGTCAGATGCTGGAGGTTGGAAGTCGGAATGCTGAGCTGGCGGAGGCTGGAGGTCAATGGGCGGAGGTTGAAGGCTGGAGGCGGGAGGTTTGGGGGTCGCAGGTGAGGTCGGACGCTGGATGTCAAGTCCATAGCTCTAGGTCTGGCCTGTCCCCCTACAGGGGGATGTCGAACGAAAAATAAGAAATACTCAAAACATGCTCAGAAGATGCCCAAGAATACTCAAAACATAGTCCCCCGACTAAATTTTGGCTATTTTTGAATATCCCCCCTGCAGAGGGACCGGCCCGACTTCACCATAGC